CCATCTCAAAAGTTTTTGTTAGTCTATCTTAGACAGCGAATGTTTTTAGGTAATAAAGTTTGTCGAGTTGATAAAAATTCTGTTTTATAGTGATAAAACAGTGTATAGTGTGAGTGTGATTATATCGTACCAAAGTTTCCAGGATTCCCTGGTTTCGGTCTTCAACATAACGGTGAGAAATTGATTTGCCATCATATGCTTTCTATATCTCACAATCCATTTTGTTTTAATGGTCAACTTTTTTTAAATCATTTAAAAATCGAATTATAATGAAAAAAATATAAGAAAATTATGTTCATGCTGATATAAAACTCACAAAGTTATTGTATGAGGAATTTTAAAATGAAATATTTTTCTTGAACAACCTGTTTCTCCAAAACTAACAACATTTTCTATGAGAGATGTGAGGCTGCATCTTGATATTCTGATGTTTACTATTTCTAGCTCACACATTAACCATTTTCATGCTGATTTAAAACTTACAAAGTTATTGTATGAGGAATTTCAAAATAAAATATTTTCCTTGTACACCCTGTTTCTCCAAAACTAACAACATTTTCTATGTGAGATGTGAGATGTGAGGCTGAATCTTGATATTCTGATGTTTACTATTTCTAGCTCACACATTGACCGTTTTGAATGAATAACCCTGTATATATTTCAAAGAAAATTTTAATATCACGGAATTCATTGAATTTCAAAAATCTTTCCCAAAGAAGATGTAAGTGGATTATGAAGTATCAACCTACGATAATTCTCTAAAACATGAACTGGATGTTCGATAACGTCTCCAAATGTCTCGAAAAAAAAGCGGCTGCTATATTTTCAAATATTTCGTATGTGGCTGACTTTCCTGTTGCCTCGCTTTTCTGCCCATTCTTATGAATTTTTGCGACATATCATTTGCAGCAGCTTGCAACACTGGCTTTTCAATTATTGATTATATGCGGGTTAGTTTGAAGTTCATCTGAAGTTCACGCAATTCAAAGGGCACGTGGCGGACTGCGGAAAGACGGGGAATCACCGCGCGACCAATGAATATCCCCCCGGTTCGCCGCGGGAGGGAGAGAGACATATAACGATTTCTCGCTCAGTTTTGTTTTGTTGCCGTGGCGGTATTATCCTTTGTGAATATCGCCATATCAATGGATCCAAAATCTGAGAACTGTACTCTGAGAGTTCTGAGACGAATGTTTTTGCTTGAGTTTTAGAGCGAAATAACCTGAACTTTTGACACAGATCAACAAAGCTTTTTGAAGTTTGTTCCACAACTGTGCCATTCCTATTATTTCCATCTATATGCTGACATAATTATCGATCTCATGAATAGAATTGAAGAAATTCTGCTGAATTTGTATGTTTAAATTTTCAGGTCTACTTATATAATTATAATTCAGTGACAAATTCTAGGCCGTTTCAAACTACTCTATTTATTTTCTAGTTCTTTTTAGTTCGGTTCTTTATACCTCTTCATTTTTTCAAACTACACTTTATTTTCTACTCACTTCTTTTTAGTATGGCTATCTATAAAAAGGTGTTTCATTAGTTTTTCAAACTAATATTTATTACAATAGCTGATACCCGGCAAACGTTGTTCTGCTATATACAATTATTTCCAGAAAATATTTTTTTAGTTAAATATTTATCAACATATCGGAATCGGATCATAACTACAAAACTCAGTTGCCATCCTCCATCTTCAATTTCCTTATTTTGATGAACAATCATAATCTCCCATCCCAAAATCCCCCATATACAAATTTGGAATGGAATCGGATTAAGTTACAAAACTCGTCAGCCATATTGAATCTGCCATCTTGGATTTCCAAATTTTGATAAAAGGATCATTATTTTTGACTCCGAAAACCCCCCGATACCAATTTTACATAGAATCTGATCATAATAATTAAAAAACTCTTCCACCATATTGGATCCACCATTTTGAATTTCCCCATTTTGACAAATGATTCATAATTATCTACGACCTCTAAAACCTCCAGATACCAATTTTGAATAGAATCTGACCATAATTACAAAACTCGTCCGCCATATTGGATCCGCCATTTCGAATTTCCTAATTTTGATAAAAAATCATAATTCCTGACCTCGAAAATCACCAGATACCAATTTTGAATGATATCTGACCAATTTGTTCTGTTCAGCACCAAAACATACGCTGATGCTCTTAGATTCCATCCAGAGAAGAGCCATTCGCCTGGTGGGTGACGCCACACTCACTCACTCTTTGACATCATTGGAACACCGTAGAAAGGTCGGCGACCTTTCACTTTTCTATCGATACTTCCACGGGAAATGACTATCATCCCTCCACTAGCAATACCAGACGAAGTAGACAAGCCCAGTCAGCACATCCTTTCGTTGTCAACCTCGAAAGATGTCGAACAGCACTTTATCAAAACTCCTTCATCCATAGAACGGCTAGGCTCTGGAATTCAGTGCCCGAGGAAGTATTCCCAACAACATATAATCTCCAGAAGTTCAAAAAAAAAACTCCAATACCTACCTCCTGTCCCTATTCTCCCTAGGAACGCACGATGTTCTTTGAACATTATAGGGATTTCCTTTCGTGCGCTCCAAGCGATAAAAAAAATAATTACAAAACTCGTCCGCCATATTGGATCCACCATTATGAATTTCCTTATTTCGATGAAGAAATCATAATCTCCGACCTCGAAAACCCCCAGATACCAATTTTGGATGGAATCTGACCATAATTACAAAGCTCGTCCGCCATATTGGATCCGCCATCTTGAATTTCCAAAATTTGACGAAATATTCATAATCTCCGACCCCGAAAACCCCTGAGTACCAATTTTGAATGAAATCGGATAACTATACTTGGTCGCCATATTGGATCCGCCATTTTGTATTTATTATTTAAAAAATAGATTACGACCGATTCTCATACCTACCGAATACGCACAAAAAATTTCATACGAATCGGTCGAGCCGTTTCGGAGGAGTTCGACCACTATGACCGTGACCGTGACAGGAGAATTTTATATATTAGATTTGTTCGTCTTACAAACACTCGGAGAACCTGTACAATCCACATCTTTTCACAAAGTTCATGGTTGAATTAGGTGAGATTTGTCTGAAATCGATAGGTTCTAAATTGGTAAAGCCAAATATATCGAACCTTAGTCTCTCTAAGTAAGAGCATAAATATAATATGTGTTCATCCGTTTCATCTTCCAACCAGCAGAATCGACAGTCCGTTTGTTGTTTCAAACCCATCCTTCCCAGGTGCTATCTTAGACGACAGTGTCCCGTAAGCAGTCCTGTCAGAATTCGCTAGTAACCCCTGCTCCATTCTAGGATCTGCCTGGTTATATTTTTCGATGGTTCAGGCAGAAACTACTTCGAATTGTATAACCCTGATGGTTATTCAGACCAGTACATGAGTCTCTTTATTACCTCTTTTTTCTTCTACCGTTATCACGTGAGAAACGGTCAAGGTGAAATAAAAGCCGTTTGTATAAAAACAAAAAGAATGGTTCTTACCTCAAGTTAGCTCTGTGGAGAGGGGTCGTGGGGAAGGAAAAAATAATATACTTATTCCTGTTAATGACTCTCTAGACAACCGAAATTGATGTATTATCATTTATCAATTCAGAGTAAGGGGGCATAACAATATACAGCCCTCGATACAACCATACAAAATTCTGGATAATCACAATATTACATAGTAATTAGTTCTTGGGGTGAAAGTGAAAATACAAAAGTACTGAATCACTCGATAGGTAAAAGAGTGGAGCTAAAATCCTAATCCTCTCATTTATGTATATACCATTTCACTAACTTGCACAAAGGAGAGAGACAAATACCTATCTATCATAGATTATATTTTCTTTTTCTACTTATACCTTAGTCAATCGAAACTCTCCGTAGACGCTCTACCTGTAATGCATCCAACCTTGTCGTAGTCTTACTTCTAACTAAATACTAGGTAGCAAAATAATATAGCAATTGAGCGAAAGGTACTGTGATAATTAATACTTCTACCAAGTGTCAGGCAGTAAATGGTAGCAAAGCCAAGCAGACATGCTGATTTCAAAAGTATTGAAGTTGGAACGAGCTTACTTGGTATGTAGGTTAGTACAGGAGGTAGGTAGTTAGTATTTCGTCGAATTCTCACTATAATTTTCCTTCTCCCTATATTAGACCTGGGGGAAGGTCAGCTCGCTTTACTCATTTAATATGGGTACGGAATTTGTAATCAAAGGCCAAGCATGGCTTCACCAGCCAATCACTATGACCTATTACCGTAGCCCCGGAGATACTTCCAAATGATGTCCAGAAGGACTACATCCGGAGATAAAAGGCCTAAAATAACAAGCATAAGTTTCCCAGGATTAGAGTAATAAATAAATATTCGGCCCTATAAAAATAGTGATTCCTTTTTTTCATAGAAATGAGAAATATCAATAACTTTTGAACCATCAACAATTGGATAACAACAGATACTGTTGGTTTGATTGGAAATGATCCCTCCTACCACCAAACGTTTTTTGATCCATGACTTATGGGACACCCTGTATATAAAGGAATACATTGAGAATTCGCATTCTCTATGTAATGAAAATATCAATTATTTCTCGGTTTATTCAACAGAAAACAATCACTTTCGTGGCTATATGCCACGACGAACATTGAATCATATCTATTGAACAAAAAAGATAAGAATTTGAAAACACAATCTTCAGAAGTTGGGAATTTGCATTCTCCTGCAGATAATATTATGTAAATGCACATAATATCATTCTTAATATTCAACAGAAACTAACTGGTTACCTGGCTATTTGCCACGTGGAACATTGCATTATATCTGTTGAAAATCCAAAAGTAGAGCATGAAGAATAACAATTTTCCGAAATTGAGAATTGACAGTTTTTATGAAAAGTCACATTGTATAACCTGTCAAGAGAGATAAAAGTCAAGCTTTCTTCCGATCCCCGACCATTTTTTTCTCTCTCAAGGTGGTGCAGATCTTCTGGCAAGAACACAGCACAAATACCTGGAACAGGCGGAAGGCTATGTGTCCTCGCTAATCGCGGCCATAGTTTCGGAAGATTGGGGCAGCATCATCAACAACTGCGAGATCGGCAGCTGGAAGGAGGCGTTCGCAGCCATTTTGACGCACGCCTCTGACGACGATCTGCCGGCTCTTTGTGGTAAGGCCATTTGAAGTACTGCATCGTTTACCATAATTATGATAAACCAACAAATCAATTAAATAACACCGAGATTATTCAAGTGATGATTCTGAAATGAAAATTAGGGTGAGGGATTGATTTTTCGAAGAATACCTCTCCCCGGATAAGTTACACTCCTCCAAAGATTAAAAAATGGTTTTCTTCTCAATTTTCTCGTTAAAGCTCAAGTTTTCGAAAAAAAATTAGAGATAAAAAAAATACCTGATTAATTGAGCTTTTCAGCCATGTTTTTGTGAAAGAAAAAAATCCCATAAACAAAAAAGTTGTCAGAAAAAATATCTTCTTCTTCTTCTTCCAGTCGCGATAATCCGATTCTGAGGAATGCATGTGTTCGATGTTATTTCTTCCAGAACAGTTGGGCAATAGATTAGAAGAGGAAAGCACCATCGACCCGAAATATTCGCAAGACGCGCAACTCTGTTATATTTGCGCGGGCAGTTTCGACAAGTTGGTGGCCAGCTGGAGCGGCAACACTGCTAAATCGACAGACGATCTGCAAGAGTTGATCGAGTTGGTGACTTGCTTGCAGAAAGCTGTGGAAAGACAAGGGAGACACGTGAAGGTTAGTTGAGAGAAAGAGAGAGAAATATAATTTATTGTCGAAGGAAAATACCAACCATGGGTATCTTCATAACGGTGAGAGATACGAGGTCGGTTAAATGACACCAAATGTGGAGTTTGTCAAGGCCAACTATAATGTGAAAAAATATTTTGATAAAATTTATTCGTTTTTGTTTTATACGCAGAAAACAGATTTTGATCATTTTCTTGTCTCCTCCGTAATTTCTTTATTTATGAAAATATTCAAATAGGAATTTCACATTCTCATGGCAGTTTTTCTGAGTGATTTCGAAAAAAATATGAAATTTATACCAACTCTTCCAGAATTTGAGATATCAGCACCAACTTTAGTTTTTCAAATGTAGGTCATAGCTCACTATGACTTAGTTACAAATAACTTTTTTTTCTCTTTCAGATGATATGTCGCAGTTATAGTTTTGTGTTGATAACAACGGAGGCCGTCATCTTGAATTAATAAAATTTAACAAAAAAATCATGATCTCCGACCTTAAAAACCCCCATTTACCAATTTTGAATGGAATCGGACCAAATCTTGTCCGCCACCTTGGAGCAGCCATTTTTTTTAATTTCAACAAAAGTTCCATAATGTATTGTCACTGGATTTACGAATATTTCGGTGGAAATATATTATGGAATTTTTGTTGAAATTAAAAAAAATGGCTGCTCCAAGATGGCGGACAAGATTTGGTCCGATTCCATTCGAAATTGGTAAATGGGGGTTTTTAAGGTCGGAGATCATGATTTTTTTGTTAAATTTTATAAATTCAAGATGGCGGCCTCCAAATAATTTTTTGTTTTTGTATAAATGATGATAACTCCGTTGTTATCAACACAAAACTATTACTGCGACATATCATCTGAAAGAGAAAAAAAAGTTATTTGTAACTAAGTCATAGTGAGCTATGACCTACATTTGAAAAACTAAAGTTGGTGCTGATATCTCAAATTCTAGAAGAGTTGGTATGAATTCCATATTTTTTTCGAAATCACTTTGAAAAACTGCCATGAGAATGTGAAATTCCTATTTGAATATTTTCATAAATAAAGTAGTTATGGAGGAGACATGAAAATGCTCAAAATCTGTTTTTTGCGTATGAAACAAAGACGAATAGATTTTATCGAGATATTTTTTCACATTATAGTTGGCCTTGACAAACTCCACATTTGGTGTCATTTAACCGACCTCGTATCTCTCACCGTTAAAAAGATACCCATGGTGAGCATGGTAAGTGGGACACACTGTATTTCAGAATACGCTCTCTTCATTTAAAATATTCTCAACGATGCAGTGTTGCTGCTTTTACTAAAAAGTAGTAGCAACATTGATATTTCAAACGGAACACCCTGTATTTTATCGCATTTTAAGATTCTCCCTGAAAAGCTGATTTCATCTATATATCACACTTGGATTCTATTGGAAATGATTACCGAGATATAGGGTGTTCAAAATCGAGATTTTTCAACTTTAAGTTTTTTTTGTGTCGGAACTAGTCATTATTAGTCAAAACTGCTCACATGTCCCTATCTCAACTTTTGATTCACTATTTACTGATATTTAATCGAAACAGATACAGGGTGGTTCAAGATTCAGAATTCTGATCACCCTGTATCTGTTCTAATTAAATGTCGGTAGATAGTAAATCAAAAGTTGAGAAAGGGACATGTGAGCCGTTTTGACCGATAATGACTAGTTTTGACACAAACATATCCTGAAGTTGAAAAATCTCGATTTTGAACACCCTGTATCTCTGTAATCACTTCCGATCGAATCCAAGTATGATGTATCGATGAAAACAGCTCTTCAGGGAGAATAACAAAGTTGTTGATACTTTTTTATAGAAGCGGCAACACTGCATTGCTGAAAATATTTCAAATGAAGAGAGTGTATTCTGAAATACAAGCATGCATATCTTCATGGATTTCTCCCGACTGATTCTTGATATAGAGACATACCCTGTATGGGTGTAAATAAAAAACAATATAAAATTTTCACTTATAATATCACGAGAGCTTCAATTATTTCCGGAAATTTTTTCGAGAACACGAATATTTTGAAAATTCTCCCGAGTCGAAGACGAGGGACAATTTCCCGGATATTAATTGAAGCTATAGTGGTATTCGGTAAGAAAATTTTACACTGAAATACTATTAAAAAATAACTTGGATAATGCCGATTTTTGATGGTTTTGACATTTGAATAGTAGGCTTTGTATGTTAACTCAAAAGAATAATGTATTTTTTTATCTACATATGTCATTCTGCATGAAGAGTAGGTATAATATCATAGTGTTTATATGATAATGTATTAGTATTATTGATAAAATGCACATTCATAACATTGTTAGGTTGAATAAAACCCAATTAATCTACTTTAGTTACACAAAATAATGAGAAATGAATCGATAGTAGTTGACTTTTGAAATTTTTCACAAATTCAGTTCACTAAACTTGGTAGAAATATATTTTCTTGCAAGGAACCCAAAGTACTATTCAGTTTATCCATGAAATTTGCGCGCATTATATTATTAGGTTGAATAAAATATATTTGAACGACTTTAGTTGAATAAATTGAAGAAAAATAAGTCAGTAGTAAATCAATCTTTCAGTTTTTCACAAATTTATTCAACTAAAGTTGGTAGAAAATAATGGGAAAGGTGCCTATTTAAAATGATAGATAATAATATAAAAATAGTATAATAATAATTTCTTTATTATTTCCGGGAGACCTAATATCTTAGTTATCCACTTTAGTTAAATGAAAGTTCTACAGAAAAGTTAATTATGGTTTAATATATCTATTTTCGATCAATTTAATCTACTATAGTCGTAGCAATAATTTATTCACCGAATTTGTTTGGGATTATCAAATATCAATTGCTTCTGGCGTGTGAAAAATATGGAGCTCTTCGTGGATTACAACAGAATAAGATTGTTTCAAAGTACTACATATATTTCATGAAACATAGACATTTTATACGTTTTAGTGAATGTTCGCTTTTATATTTGAAAAAAGGAATTTCAACAACACTTAGATGATAAAGTTGAAAATGATGGTTGTTTGTGATGAAATGTAAGAACTAACGTATAGTAACAACATGTGTTTTTGTAAATTTTGAATTTGCAAGTATAACTTCATAATCTTATATGGTAAACTGTTGATTTTTATTTATTGACTTATAGAATGAACTCGAAATAATCTGAAGTTGAATGTAAATGTCATCTAACCTATAAACGTCAAAAAATTTCCAGTGTAATTTCATGCTCCGTCCCCCAAGGAGGAGGAAAAAATTTCCGAGAAATTTGTTTAGTTGCTATGGTAACGATACGAAATACAGGCTTTAAATTGATGGAAAATGTTTGGTGTGAAATTTTCAATCACAACAGAGTTTCATTGTAATATTCCTCAAAGTTGTAGTACGGTTTTGTTGCAAGAGCTTCTTCAAAAAGATTTCTGAACTTTTTATAGCTTTTCTCCTTCCTGATTTCGTATGTGGTTAAACAGCTTTTTACTTTCATAAATTAAGTACTATTTTGTCTGGTTCTGGTTCTGGCCTCCCAAGGGGACCTTTCCATCGCCCTCAACTATCTGGGAGCCTCCACCGATGAAAGGGTGGTCTCTTTGAGAAACCTTTTCCTGGTGGCGCTCGGCCAGAAGCCTTTGATTGTGCAGGAAGTGCGGCAGCAGCAGAAAAATATAAAATTTTCACTTATCTTAAGACTTCAGGAACTAATCTGCTTTCGTTTTCATCATGAACATGGGAAATATCATTTTTGACGATTTGCTTTCTTAGGAGGGAGTCAGTTTTGAGTGTTGGAGACAGTTTTTTTGCACAGACTCCTTCGCCAATAGAGGGATGTTCTCATTTCAGAACTGTTGCTAGAAATAGTCAAGAACACTGATATCGGCACCCACATCGGTAAAAGATGCCGAAGTGCTACTGGGTCTTTAGTTGTCGCTGGGATGAACGATCCATCTTTCTCCTTTCGTGGTTTTTCATTCCCTGTATCTAATAAACTATTCATCCTAGACGAAAAATGAACAGAGCCTTTTTTATAGGAAATTTCACGTTCTTCAACAATTTTTTCCTACCTTCTTTTTCTCGACTTTATCATTCCCTGTATGTCAGAATCTATTCATCGCAGACGAAATATGAATTGAATCTATTTTATAGGAAATTTCACGTTGTTTAATTTTGTCTTTTTACACTTTTTTGCCAAACGCCACAATTTTCGAGTTATTTAATTTTTTCCCCTCTTCGACCTTCTCTTTGGCCTTCTTTGATTTGATCTCTTGTCATTATTATCTCCTAGATATCAGGTGCGTTTGTGGACACTATCGCACTGTGCCTCTCTTCTGGCCTTTCAAGGGGACCTTCCCCGTGGTCTCTTTGAAAAACCGCCTCCTTGTGGCGCTGGGCCAGAAGCCTCTGAATATGCGGAAAGTGCGGCAGCAGTAGAAAAATATCAAATTTTCACTTATCTTAAGACTTCAGGAACTAATCTTCGAATTAATAATCTTTATTATTCCCAAGAAACATATATGTTTATAGCAGTGAAAATTATGAAAGAGCAAAAAAAAAAAAATTAGATAATCAGATAATCATTTTTAAATCATATACATAATACATATAATGCTTTCGTTTTCAACATGAACATGAAACATATTATTTTTGACGAATTGCTTCCTTAGGGGAAGACTCCGTTTTGAGTGTTGGAGACATTATTTTGTGCACACTCCGTTTGCCAATAGAGGGATGTTCTCATTTTAGAAATGTAGCTAGGAATAGCCAAGAACACTGATTTCGGCACCCACATCGGTGAAAGTTGCGGAAGTGCTACTAGGTGTTTGGTTGTCACTGGGATGAATGATCCACCTTTCTCTTTTCGTGTTTTTTCATTTCCTGTATCTCATAAACTATTCATTGTAGACGAAAAATGAACAGAGCCCTTTTTATTGGAAATTTCACTATCTTGAATTTTATTCATTCACACTTTTTTCTTGAGGCTTCAATTTCCCAGTTATTTCGAGTTATTTCCCCTATTCGACTTTCCTTGATCCTCCTCTTCACGACTTTATCATTCCCTGTATCTCAGAATCTATCCATCGTAGACGAAAAATGAATAGAACCTATTTTATAGGAAATTTCACGTTGTTTAATTTTGTCAATATACACTATTTTGCTAGACGCCACAATTTTCGAGTTATTTCGGTCATTTTTATCTCTTAGATATCAGGTGCGTTTGCGGACACTCTATCGCACTATGCCTCTCTTCTGGCCTCACAAGGGGACCTTTACACCGCCCTCAACTATCTGGGTGCCTCCACCGATGACAGGGTGGTCTCTTTGAGGAACCGCCTCTTGGTGGCGCTGGGCCAGAAGCCTTCGAATCTGAGGGAAATGCGGCAGCAGCAGAAAAAATATCAAATTTTGACTTAGCTCAAGACTTTTCAGGAACTATCTGCTTTGGTTTTCATCATGAACATGGAAAATATTATTTTTGACAAATTGTTTCCTTAGGAGGGAGTCAGTTTTGAGTGTTGGAGACAGTTTTTTTGCACATACTCCTATGCCAGTAGAAGGATCTTCTCATTTTATATCTGTAGCTAGAAATAGACAAGAACAGTGATTTCGATTTCGGCACCCATATTGGTAAAAGATGCGGTAGTGCTACTGGGTCTTTGGTTGTCACTGGGATGGACGATCCATCTTCCTCTTTTCGTGTTTTTTCATTTCCTGTATCTCATAAACTGTTCATTGTAGACGAAAAAGGAACAGAGCCTTTTTAATAGGAAATTTCACTTTCTTGAATTTTGTTCATTCACACTTTTATCTTGAGGCTTCAATTTTCGAGTTATTTCGAGTTATTTGCTCTTTTCGTCCTTCCTTAATCCTCCTCTTCTCGACTTTATCATTCCCTATAACTCAGAATCCTATTCATCGTAGACGAAAAATGAATAATACCTATTTTATAGAAAATTTCACGTTGTTCAATTTCGTCTATTTACACTTTTTTGCTAAACGCCACATTTTTGGATTTATTTCTGTTTTTCCCTCCCTCTTCGACCTTTTTTTTGGCCTTCTTTGATTTGATCTCTTGTCATTCACTCTGGGCCCCCTATTATTTTTGTTATATATCAATGATTTGCCAGAGGTAGTAAGTGAGAGCTCCGTTAATTTATTTGCAGATGATACACTGATTTATTTCTCATGTAATGATCACATAAAGCTCATGGAAACCATCAACAGAACTTTAAAATCAATTTACAGTTGGTGTTGCTCTAATTATTTGAAGATTAATGTTGAGAAGACCAAGTACATGGTAATAAGTACAGAAAAAAGATACAGAAACTTTTGCAACAAAAATTTTTAGGTAATATTAGGTCCTGATAAGGTGGAACTAGTTAACCAATTCAAATATCTTGGGGTTCATGTGGATAGGGGGTTACATTTTAAAGAACATGCCAACTTCATTATAAAGACGATAGCATTTAAATTACATTATTTATCTAGTTGCGCCCCACATTTGACAAGGTGGACAAAACTTTTACTGTACAATGCATTAGTGCTCCCTCATTTCACATACTGTTCTACAATTCTATTTCTACTGAAACAAAATGAATTAGCTCGTTTACAGAAACTACAAAATAGAGCCATGCGCATAATTTTAAATTGCAAAAGACGTACACCGATAAGAGACATGTTGAAGGAACTTGATTGGTTACCAATTAATTCCTTTCTCCTCTACCAAACATTAATCCTAATTTTCAAAATAAGAAATAAAATTCCCCCAACATATCTGCAAGAAAAAGTTAGGTACAATAACCAAATCCACGGATACAATACAAGATTCCGAACTGACTTTCATATTCACCAAGTAACATTAACACATACTCAAAATTCAGTTTTTTTCAAGGGACTTGATAGCTATAATAATCTGCCAGAAGAGATCAAACGTTTAACATCATTAACATCCTTCAAGGCACAGTTGAAATCATATTTTCTTCATCAATGAAATACCTAGCGGCCACTTCCTCATTTTGTTTGTTTCGATTTAGTATAAAGTATGATAGGTTTACAAATGTTTTAGAATGTGTAGTGTTTTTTGTGTATTCATTAAATATGTATTAGAATGTGTAAGGACGTAAAGATGTATAGTGACTGGGTATAGTAGTTTATGTATTGTATTTATGTAAATATGTTTACACATATAACATTCTCATTGTAATTATTGCAATGAGGTGAAAATGTAAATTAGCTGGACTAAATAAAGGATTTATATATATATATATATATATATTATTATCTCCTAGATATCAGGTGCGTTTGCGGACACTCTATCGCACTATGCCTCTCTTCTGGCCTCCCAAGGGGACCTCTCCACCGCCCTCAACTATCTGGGCGGCTCCACCGATGACAGGGTGGTCTCTTTGAGAAACCGCCTCCTGGTGGCGCTCGGCCAGAAACCTTTGAATGTGCAGGAAGTGCGGCAGCAGCAGAGCAGAAGAGCGAGTCAGAGACAATCGTTCAGCAATTATCTGGCCTCGGGCGGTGGGTTCGGCAATGCCAATCAGTATCAAAGGTGAGTTGTTGTTGGTGTTATTGATTAGCTGATATAAGTCCGATTCTCGATTTTCTTACACGAATACTTGGTGCAAGACACTGCTGTGTCTCTGGATATAAAATTTCTCTCTGGATCGAATTATTCATATAAGTACTTTGTTCCAAGTTTGAAATTTTGGAGGCAGAAAATTGTCCATTATATTTAGATATCCTACTTAATTTGTTATCATTGCATTTTTTGTATCTATAGTACCATTGAATTTGTATCATGGCGATATGGTTCAAGTTTCCTACTTAATTTGTTATCATTGCATTTTTTGTATCTATAGTACCATTGAATTTGTATCATGGCGATATGGTTCAAGTTTCCTACTTAATTTGCATTTTTTGTATCTATAGTACCATTGAATTTGTATCATGGCGATATGGTTCAAGTTTCCTACTTAATTTGTTATCATTGCATTTTTTGTATCTATAGTAACATTGAATTTGTATCATGGCAATATGGTTCAAGTTTCCACAGAGAATAGAATTGATATTGAAAAAAGTAATATAGGTCAGGTTGATTAAAATAAAAGAAGGAATTGTATTATATTCTCGCCTCGTAAATCGAAGTTATTCACGTCCCTTATAAGGGTGCTTCTTCAGTCAAGCACACGAATCGTACATTGGTCTAGTCGAGCCGGATCTCCAGCAAAATACCTACAGTGGAAAATATAGTGCAGTAACATACAGAACCTCTCGCCCGAGCCCGATCAAACCTGAGCAACAATTGTATCGTGAGCAACATCTCCATTCATTTACATTCAATTTCATATCTGCGTAAATATTTTCGATATCGTATTTTAATGTAGATATTGTGCCAAATTTCCGAAAATGGAGGTTTATCGTACCTGTCCACAAGTAACTAATCCTTGAGGTTGGGAAAATATGATATATAAAAGTCAAGCAAGCCAACGTTAGTTTAGTTCATTGTACCAGTATATCACCTGACCCCACTTGACATGAAAACATAAACTCAAACATAAATGTTGTATTACATTGTTACTTTGTGATGCCATTCAGAGAGATGCTCAATGTCACAGATACGTTGCAGGAATAGGCTTTTGTGCCTCTTTTGAATATTAGAATGTAATGTTGATGGTAAATATTGTATAAATATTTCAGGAATCACATAAAATCGATGTTAATTTTCAACGTATATTCAATGTTACTCAATACATCTGAACAATATCGTATATTAACATTCTAATTATTTTCTAGGAGTTTTTAGGTTATGTCTATTTTTTCTGGAATCATCAAGACAATCATCTAAATGATCTTTACAAAAGACAGAGAAGATGATCTATCCCTGAATAAGAATTGATCTTACCGTACTCCTGAAAGACTATAAGTATGATCCAGTTACATAGTGATATTTTGAGACAGATTAACTACTATCTTTCTATGTATCATTTTAGTTATTATGCATCATGAATCCAGTCATACCAAGCTTAGCTTTATGATTTCTGCATAGTCCAGTGATCTCTTACTGACTTTCTGAAAAGTAATAGGTAAATATATGCGAGTTTTTGGAAGTTTCCTGACTTATTTTGAAATTCTATTCTATGTTCATCTTCTTGCTATGACATTTAACTCACCCATTATTTTTGTAATTCGTAAAATATGAACACAATGCGTATTCACGAATCCCTCCTACTTTTTCACATATTATGAAATGCAGATACAGATTGGTTGCATTTCTATATTCCAGCAGAACAAACCTGGAATCTAAGTAGGTATCATTTTATTTTATTTTTTTTTATTTTTGGAGAATTAGGCGATTCAACAGATAGACGCAGCTATCCACTAATAGAATCGCACAGGTTACAAATTTTGATCAGTATTAACTTAAACCAAGACAATGCTATAAAAGCCGTTCTAAAATCAAAATGTAAATAGCCCTAAAGGAAATGATATAAATATTTTCAGATCTAGGATAAGAAGTACTTATTTCGATATACTAGACAAAATATAGAGAGTAATTGGAAAATAACAGAAAAAAAAAAGTTGGATCTCTAAATTATTCTAATAAAATAATCGGCATATTTTATGAACTATTATCAGGAAGTATCATAAACAACCTAGTCAGTGCAATTCATACATATATTGCATATTCAAAAATGGATGAGAAAAAAAGAAACGAAATCATTACTATCGGTTATACAACGCGGTCTTCAACTTTCTCTTGAAAATGTTTATCCTGGTCGAAAAAATATCAAATTCTTCGTCATCTAAACCATTACAAAACTTCATGCACCTATATAGTGGAGAATTAGACATGAAATTGGTAGTTATCCTACCAGGTACGAATAGTTGCCGATGTCGCATAAGATATCGGGTACAATTCAAGAGGAAAAAACTTGTACAGTATGGAGAATCAATAATGTCATTGACAATTTTATAGACAAAGCAGATATCAAAGAATTGCCTTCTCAAATTTAAAATTTCAAGCTTGTAAAATACAACATTATATTCATAAGAGAAAAAATGTCTTCTTTTGTTGAATCGAAAATTTAAAACATTTATTAATTTATGCTGTACTTTTTCGATTCTATTTATCTTATCCTTATAGAATGGATTCCATACTATTGAGGCGTACTCTAGGTGGCTTCGTACGATAGAGTTATAAAGTGTTATAATTGTTTCAGAGCGATTAAAGGATTTGGTGACTCTTAAAATGAAACCCAAGTTTCGTAATGCTTTTTGAACGATAGTCTCTATATGAGAGTCAAATTTTAATTTGGTGTCAAGAATAACCCCCAAGTCTTTGACTGAGTTAACGTTATTTATTGATTGTCCATTCAGTGTGAGGTCAAAATGAGGTGGCAATTTGCTTCTGGTGAATAGGATTTTGTGGCACTTATCAAGATTCAGTTTCAACTTGTTTAGTTCACAGTATTTGAAGAAACTTTCAAGATCAGTTTGGAGCATATTATAGTCTTCTATGTTGGTGATGGCTTTGTAGACTTTAAGGTCATCTGCGTATAGCTGTATATCCGTGTTTTCGAAGCATTCATAAATGTCATTTATAAATATATTGAACAAGAGAGGACCTAGATGTGACCCTTGCGGAACACCAGAGGTGACTGACAATGATGAAGATCTAGAATTATTCACAACGACATATTGCTTACGATTTTCGATATAGGACGAGAGTAATTTCAATAAATTTCCATGCACACCGAAATTACGAAGTTTAACAATAAGTGTAGGATGATGTACCTTGTCGAAGGCTTTCGAAAAGTCGGTGTACACAACGCAGGTTGAAATTCCTTTTTCCATGTTCGAGTAGATTTCTTGTACGTATGGTATTAAGTTAGTGAGCGTTGATCTTTTTTTATGAAAACCATGTTGCCACGTATTTATAACATGTTTCAATTGGAAGAATAAGTTTTTAGACAGGATTGATTCAAAGATTTTTCCAAAATGAGAAAGTATAGATATTGGCCTATAGTTGGCAATATCATTCTTTCTTCCCGACTTGTGAACAGGTACGATTTTTCCAATTTTCCATTCAGATGGAAAAGTTCCTTCCACCAAGCATTTGTTGAAAATAATTCTTAATGGTTCTAGCAAGGATTCACCACATCTTTTAATAAATATCGGGGGTATACCATCAGGCCCCGGACCCTTATTGATATCCAAATCATGAATGGCTTCAGAAATTTCCGTAGCATTTATATAGTACACCTCAAAGTTGTTAGAATTATTTACATCACTCTGAACTGAAGAAGACGTCAGGTTAGGTTCAAAGACACTATTGAAGTATTCAGAAAATAGTTCACAAATACTCTCATTATCATAAGCAACTCTGTCATTTAGAGACATACGCGCAGGAATTGACCTATTATTTTTTTTATTAGCCAAATATGACCAAAAATATTTGGAATTTGATTTTATATTATTTTCTGTTTTTTGAACGTAACTGAGGTAGTCTTCTTTGATCTTTTTTTTCACAATTTTACGCAAATTGGAAAAGTTTTCATAATCAACATTATTTTTATAATTTTTCCACTTCTTATGCAACTTTTCTTTTTGTCTAATATTTTTGATAGTTTCTTTAGCAAACCATACTGGAAAATCATTCTTTTTAACAGTTGTCTTAGGTATGGTATTTTCTATGAGTCCATTGACTATAGAATACAATTTATCAACACTCTGCTCTGCATTTAGACCGTTGAAGATTTCAACCCACGAGTAATCTTCTAGTTGAGCTTTAATTACGTTATAGTCAGCATCAAAAAACTTAAGTTTTGTATATGACTTACTGGGAAGCAGTTTAATACCAGTGATTTGTAAATTGATATCTAAAGCAGTGATGTATGTCTTCTTTCACAAAAGGCTGATCACAGGCTTGGGTATCAACTTTGATAGAGTTAGAGAAAGATAAAACTAGATCCAATATTTTTCCTCTTGAATTATGAACATTACAGTGCTGTTTTAGGTTTAACAAAGAAAAATTATCAACAAAACATTCACTGAGGGCATCCGCTGCGTTGATTGGTCTGAATGATTCTAGGGCCATATCAAATTCCCAGTTAATATTTGATAGATTGAAATCTCCGATAATTATATATTCATTTTTGACATTCCTTTTTATAATCGTCTCCAAATTTTGAAAGAAGGAAATCAAATTGTTCAATGTAGCGTGTGGAGGAATGTATATACAGCAAATGCATATTTTCTTACCCTCATTAACGCTAACGGATACCCACAGATCCTCAATAATACCAGCAGAAGACCAGTCATTCTCGGCATTCGACATGAAACTATCCCGCACACTTATCAACACACCCCCACCGTCAACTCTGCCGCTCCTAGTTTCATCACGGTCCCTCCTGTAACAGTTGTAGCCTGCAGGAAATAGTTCAGCACTGAAGACACTATCTTTCAGCCACGTTTCTGTTATACATATTATATCGTATTCCAGGCTACATGCCGAATTAAAAAATGTCTCTGTTTTTGTACGAAGACCACGTGCATTTTGATAGTAGAATTTTAATTGCTTCATTGAAGCCATTGAGACGAATATTTACACTCCTCATTAGAACAAAAATTTTATGTAAGTCTATTGAGTATATCTTCACTCTTTATATGAATCACCTGGCTATCATCAGATTTTTTTATGAAGATTTTGCCATCCTTTGCCCATGTATATTTGTAATTCTTAGAGCGAGAGAAATCTCGTGCTTTCTTGTACAACTTCTTGTAAAATGGTGATAGATGTTCATTCACGAAAATTGGCTTTTCGTCTCCATTATTATATAACCGAGTTGTTAATTTGGTCCCTTTGTCTTTCCGTACAACTTCCATTAGTTTGTTCTTTATAATACGTGTTGTAAATTTGACCACAATATTTTTCGGAATATTTCTGTTGATATTATCAGGGTGTTGCGCCACTCGGTGAGCCGATTCAATATCCTTGGTGGTTATTGATACATTGACTGCATTGAATAGGGTGTTTATAAGCTCCAGAATATTTTCACCTCGTTTTTCAGGAATCCCGCATATTTCCACATTATTCATCCTTCCTTGTTGATGAAGTAATTCAATTTCAGCTCTCAAGGAGCTGCATTCACTTCTAACTTCAGTAAGTTCACGTTTCATGGACTCAAAAGATTTGACGACATTTTTAACTGATTCCATTTGTACAGTAAATTCATCAATTTTGTCCCCATAGTATTTCAGAGAGTCGAAAACTTCGGCTTGTTTATTTTTCATATCCGTGACATCATCGTGAACACATTTCATTTTGTCCATTAACTCAATCAGGACGGAGGTCGATTTCTCAGAGGCAGGGATATTTTTACATTGTTTACATACCCATGCAACTCCAGAGTCAGCTGGTAGGTCATTGAACCCGCTCGGCAATTTAACACACTTGAGGTGGAAATATTTCGAGCAGTGGCCTTGACACTGAATTCCAGTATTAGTCCGATTCACGGCTGAACCACAAAAACTACATGGGTCTGGCATTGTAGCAAAAACTGTACCAGCAACTTTTTTGCTGCTATGCTATCGATATTTGACACCGGACTGCAACAACTTCAATGCTCAAATGCACAATAATTATAGCTTGTTTTCTCTACACTGAACAAGTATCCGATTTGCGATTCACTTCTTCACCGTTTGGTATAAGTTACGCCAGCGTACATACATTAGACAAGTAGAATCAAAGTCTGAATTGGGCGAAAAAAGCCTGTAATTAGTAAGGTTGCGGTTCCTCTATTATCTGATAGATGCCAGCACGCTCGGACGTCGAAGACGACTCGATGTTGCCAAGCTGATTATATCGTGGTAACTTTCGTACTTTTTGAATTCTAGCCTTTCGGGGAAAAATACATTTGAACGATTTATCGTGTGTTATTGAATATCCTATGAATTTATTGATTTATTTCAAACTAAATACATTTTTCTCATTACAGTTTCAACATTATTTGGTGATATGATTATGGACAATATATTCTTAGTCAAATTGCCAAGTAAATCTGTCAACTATGTAAAACAATTTCATGACTTCTCAATTTCTGTGTTATATGAGTTTTGTGTTTCTTTTCCGTTGTGCTTAGCAGTGGTGTAGCGGTAGATTTATTGTATATGTTGTTGTGAAGGATATTTTATTGGATTGTTCTTTTGCTATTGTGTTTGGTGTTTACAGCGTGTGTTTTTGAATTCTTGTCAATTGCTGTGCTGATTTTTTGAGAATATTCAATGGATCGACCAAGTTACGTGTGTGGTGTGGAAGGTTGTTATTCCAACAACCTGTCCATTGGGGTACATTTGTTTAGGTTTCCTAAAGATCTTATTAGGTAAGTAAAGAGTAAAAAGGTAGAAATGAAACTTTAAATAAATAATGAAAGCTGCTTCTATAGATAGTTGTTGAGTTTTTTGAAGAAGTTTCAACTTCAATTGCATTAGTGTTTAGAGGCAATAAAAGTTCACCATTATGACTGATTTATATTCTCTAAATCCTCAAGAACATTCTTCGAAGAGTTTTTTTCAATACTCTGAAATGATTTCAAATGCAACTCTGATATCATAATAGGTGTATAATTTTTCTTTACATTCTTCAAGGTGCCGAGAATGGGCCTACAGATGTGGAATCTTTCACAAGTATGAAGGTCAACTCCACATGCTCTATAATTCTTACTATAGAGTATGTTCATTACATTTTGAATCAGAAATGATAGTTGGAGAACTCAGAAAGCACCTGAAAAAGCATTATTCATTGAAATTCGCTAATAAAAATTTCAAAACTATCAACGAAAGTGGAGAAAAATTACATAGAAAAATAGTTATTAGAAAACATGAATGAATTGATACTTGAAGAATTCTTTACTCAAAATTACAAATTTGATATCCATTTGGGGACGTACAAGGATACTTGTATTGATTTTGTTTTATTTATTTTTACACATTGACATAACTCGTCAGTTAGTTGTTTATTTTCGTTATATGTATGTTATATGTATATGTTTATATATCCTTATTATAAACAAATATGTTTCTTGGGGTAACAATGGACAAAACAACAACAATTATATATGAATATAATTTATGAATGTTACAATAGATATTTTCCTTCATCACATCCCAAAAGTGCAAAGTAATAGTTTTTACTATGATTCCACCCAAAATGAATAATTTGTTAGATCTTCAACAATTACTTGTGGAAACTCGACACAAAAAAATGTGATTGTCCCGTTTATTTATGAATTTTGAATCTGAATAATCACTACCTATGTATAAAAAAGGATAACATAGATTGTCATCAAAAAATAAAAAAATTTCTACTTTGTAACATTCTTGATAATATTCGTAATATTTTTGAGAATGTGCCATCAACATCTAAATACTGGTTCAGTTTTGTTTCAAATCTGATTTTCTGAATGACTTAAATAATATTATTTCGAAGTATATCCTAAATTCCTGTAGGAATATAAATTTAATCAAATAAGCTCGAATCCGAAATATGTGGTACGCCCATGGATACAATCAAGAAAGCACATGATCTAGTACAGTTGAAGTACATTTTTACGTAGCGACATCTACAGAATAATAGCGGAAGCGCAACCTTAGAATGTATGTTAGGTGGTTGAAGGTCATTGGCGGCCGTTTTCAGAGATCAAAGGATTTTCAGACTTTGCACCTACTTGTCTAATGTATGTACGCTGGTTACGCTTTGTAGAATTGCCTTTTGATCACTATTGAGGACTATTTTGTCGGAGCACTTTAACAATCAACCTTCGCTAGCAAGATCTTGAATATATTATCATGAGCAATTCATATTTTCATTCGAGTCTATTTGAGTCCAAGAGTTGTTTAGTTCTTAACTTACTATGATAACTAGGAATATTATCTGAAAATCAATATTTTCACTGATCACACTGTTTGACTTGTTCACCATAATAGACAACAAACAAAATGGCTGGAATGGAATTGAATTGACTTCTGACAATTGACAAGGTTACTTTGCCGTAGAAGGAAAAATATTATCCCCTTATATCCCCTATACATGTTAGCTACTTCATAAGGTGGTGAAACGAAAACGTTGCACAAATAACATAACAACCCTGTCTGAGATATATCTGATGAACCTAAAATCAACATATCACAATATTATCTAATGATATTGATATCAATATTGATGCAACGTCTCATAAACGTATTACTTCATAATATTATGTTGGATACTTCAGAAGGACATTATGGCAATGTTATTTCAACAATATCACAAAACTTATAACTGAAAAATATTTTAGTTATAAATCATGTTTAGTGGGACGAAGCTACTGTGTTAGCGACACATGTCGTGTGTTTGAGAATTTTGTGGAAATCTTATCGTTTGTGAAGTTCTTACATTTACTATTACAGCGTCCAGCAGCAACCGCCCGCTGCGTTCGGCCAGGGCCAATTCGGTCAGCAGCCGTGGCAGCCGCAGTTCGTGCCGCCTCCCTCGGCTGCCGCCTCTGGATTCCCCACGCAGCCGCAGAGGGCGTTCTCGCCCCAGCAACAGCCGCCCCCGCTTTCGGAGCCGCCCCGGCCGACCAGCGTCGGCTCCAATCAAGGTACATTCCATATACGTATTAATAAACAATACGGATCATAACGGGTGCTAGGATGAAGCCAAAAATATGAAACAAATGAATATCCATAAGGATTTGGTGGCATGATACGCATGCGCCATGCGCTATTATAGTAGTCATCAAAGACATGCGTTTCGATGGACAATGACGTTTACTAGCATTTCAATCAAAGCAGTATGTGTCTGATCGTTTCAAAACTTTTCCTTATGGATAGTCATTTGTCTTCAAAAATCGGCTTCATGTTTCGCTATGGAAACAGATAGAGATTATCCATATTGATTATTAATACGTATATGGTACATTCACATTCATCTTCGATATTCACTTTACAGGGTGATGATGTGATTTCCCAATTTGCAGTTGGATTAAAAACTTGATTAGTGGTATACAGTTTTAATCGATTATTTTAAATGGGTACTGGCCAGGGCCTACTCTATCTCACCGGGTCGTATCCTATCCCCTTTACCTCGATGCTGACGTCACACTAGTAGGTTGAGATTTCACATCATTTCATATCGGTGCGTTCGTAATTGAAAGGTTATAGCTCATTTAATTCAAAAATTAGAAGCACACTCAATCGAGTAGTCTATCCCCTCTACCTCGATGCTGACGTCACACTAGTAGGTTGAGATTTCACATCATTTCATATCGGTGCGTTCGTAATTGGAAGGTTATAGCTCATTTACTTCAAAAATTAGAAGCACACTCATTCGAGACTAATGGGGAAGACCACTGAGAGAAGAAATCCGTGCAAACCTCTTTTAATCGACGAATCATGAGTTACGTTTGATGCACAATCAATATTATGAGTTGAAGTTGAAGGGAATCGAATCTATATCGTTTTGAAATCAGCATATTTCATTCGATATTTCAAAAACAGCCAAATATGATGGTGGAGCCGTGACGTATTAGTCCCAACCTGTAGCTATCTCTCTCTGATACCTCGTCATTCTGCAGTGTTGCAGTGTGATTGGTCAGTTCAAGGACAATAGGCGTGTTGGGACTAAGACGTCGCACCAGTCACACCAATGAATTGACAAAATTTCGAATGGCGCAGGAATTGTGTGCTTCGAAATGGACATATTCTAATTTATCGTTTTGACCCCATTGACCCCTGATGAACTACCCAACTTTCGGTGAAAAAATAAATTCATTAGGATGAACCAGTACCGATTTATGATGTGAAGAAATTCAATTTTAATGAAAATCAGGACGTTTTACTAAGGAATACTATTTTTTACCAATTTGGAATCGGTTTAAAATGAAACTGACTGAGTATGTCAAACTAGGATAATGCATCAATCAAAAAGTGAGGAAATTATTGAGCTACCTACAATGTGTCCGAAATAAATTAGAAATAAAGAGCGCGTAAAAATTTGTCTAGTATTATACCAACCTAATTTCCCTGTATTAACAATTTCGCGGTGATTCCCTATAGGTAAAGGGCAATGCACGTTTTATTACTCATGTTCCAGTTGTGGGTCTTTTGATATCTTGAAAACTATATTGAATATTGTGTTAAATAATTAGGTATTACATGAAATATAGCGGGATTCAGTCAAATAATAAGTAAAGAAGAAGAACATGTTATTTTGTAATATCTGGCTATTTCTTCTCTTTTATTATGTTGAATATTTTCAGAATGGCTTTCGTTAAGTATTGTGTGTATGAGAATTACTAATATTTTGTTCTATTCAATTTTCATATTTTGAAAATGTTTTCGAATAAAATACAGTGTGTCCCACTTACCATGCTCACCATGGGTATCTTTTTAACGGTGAGAGATACGAGGTCGGTTAAATGACACCAAATGTGCAGTTTGTCAAGGTCAACTATAATGTGAAAAAATATTTTGATAAAATCTATTCGTTTTTGTTTTATACGCAAAAAAGAGATTTTGATCATTTTCATGTCTCCTCCGTAACTTCTTTATTTATGAAAATATCCAAATCGGAATTTCACATTCATATGGCAGTTTTTCAAAGTGATTTCGAAAAAAATATTAAATTTATACCAACTCTTCTAGAATTTGAAATATCATCACCAACTTTAGTTTTTCAAATGTAGGTCATAGCTCACTATGACTTAGTTACAAATAACTTTTTTTTCTCTTTCAGATGATGTGTCGCAGTAATAGTTTTGTGTTGATAGCAACGGAGTTAACGTCATTTATACAAAAACAAAAAATTATTTGTAAGCCGCCATCTTGAATTTATGAATTTTAACAAAAAAATCATGATCTCCGACCTCAAAAACCCCCACTTACTAATTTTGAATGGAATCGGACCAAATCTTGTCCGCCATCTTGGAGCAGCCTTTTTTTTTATTTTAACAAAAATTCCATAATGTATTGTCACAGAAATTATGAACACCTGCCAAATTTCAAGTTAATCGGAGTTATGGAATTTTTGTTGAAATTAAAAAAAATGGCTGCTCCAAGATGGCGGACAAGATTTGGTCCGATTCCATTCAAAATTAGTAAGTGGGGGTTTTTGAGGTCGGAGATCATGATTTTATTGTTAAAATTCATAAATTCCAGATGGCGGCTTCCCTATAATTTTTTGTTTTTGTATAAATGACGATAACTCCGTTGTTATTAACACAAACTATTACTGCGACACATCATCTGAAAGAGAAAAAAAAGTTATTTGTAACTAAGTCATAGTGAGCTATAACCTACATTTGAAAAACTAAAGTTGGTGATGATATCTCAAATTCTAGAAGAATTGTTATAAATTTCATATTTTTTTCGAAATCACTTTGAAAAACTGCCATGAGAATGAGAAATTCCTATTTGGATATTTTCATAAATAAAGAAGATACGGAGGAGACATGAAAATGATCAAAATTTGTTTTTTGCGTATAAATCAAAAACTAATAGATTTTATCAAAATATTTTTTCACATTATAGTTGGCCTTGACAAACTCAACATTTGGTGTCATTTAACTGACCTCGTATCTCTCACCGTTAAAAAGATACCCATGGTGAGCATGGTAAGTGGGACACACTGTATATACTCCATAACTGAAAATAATCAATTCGCTGTCAGGGTTTTTGTGTCATAACTTCTACTTGGCTTACGTCATCAAAGTGTGTTTAGATTATCTTTAGACATAAACGCTGATAAAATCCTCTGAGATACAGTAAAAGTGTATCATATCGATTTGTAGGCAATGAAATTTACTACAAAAAAGTCAGTGACAGCATATATCCACAACTAACAGGTTTAGCATGGGGGCCGTCTAAACTTTTTGAACTAGTCTGTAATAATAATCTTAATCGCCATTTTACTTGAATTGAAATATCGGTTTGTTATTGGAACTTGGGAATTTTCAGAAAAATTACAGTCAATCTAGATACCATGAGAGCCTTTGCATGGTTGAATCATTTCTGTGAATTGAATATTGAAATTCTAGCATCTGTTTAAAAAACGACAATTCTGAATGTAGTCAACTCATTTTGATATGCTATATTTCTTGAACTATTTATCGTAAATCAGTGAATATTGTTTCATCTCTTGAAAAAGTCTAGTCTGTATTCGATCTCTTGACAGTTTTTAATAAATGTTACCGTTTTCCCGTGGTACATCAATGAATTGGGAAGCGCAATTTCCAGCGCCTCGATTTTGTCCCTACTAGTGTGACGTCACGAAAGTGATGCTCTGGCCCGGTGAGATAGAGTAGGCCTTGATCTGGCGCCTCTACACCGGTTCATACACCACGAAGCCATGAGAACTGCTTACCGACTCAACGGCGCAAATCAGTGGGTCGGAACAGAAGCAGATCATGGACACTTTTTCACATGGAGTAATACAAAGAAAAGCTGTCCCATCCTCATGATGAGAAGGGACAACACCTGGCATGCTTCCTCCCAATGAATCAATCTGGTACACGGATGGCTCTAAATTTTGGGACAGTTCAGGTGCAGGGGTATGCAATGAATGAACAGGAAAATAAATCTTGGTTTCTTTGGGTGAATATGCCCCAGGGCTCCAGGCTAAAGTACTAGCAATACTTACCTGTGTCCAAGAAAACCTGATTATGAGAGGTCGTAGACCAATCACTATATATGCTCGGAGAGCAAAGCTGCAATACTGGCTTTGCAATCCAATAGGATCACAACCGATTTGGTGTCCTAGTGCAGAAAGGCCTTGGAAAACCTATCAAAATCAAGAAAAGGCAGCCTCATATGGGTCTCGGGACGCTCGGGGATACCCGGAAACAAGGAGACAGACAGACTGGCCAAGATCGGTTCAAGACGGATCTGGCCAAGATCGGTTCAAGACGGATCCCTGTCGGAGCAGAACTAATCTTGGGAATACCAAACAGTCTGGCAATGTCCTCCATAGAGGGACAGCTGCAAAAGCAATTCCTCAAAATATGGCAGGAACACCAGGAAAGAGACAATCGAAGCTCCACATGAGGGAACCTTGGAAGAGGCTCACAAAAGAGGTCATATCCTTCAGCTTATTGGGATCAAAGATGCCTGGAAGGTGCCTGACGTAACGTCATCGCATGTCCTAAATTTTAACAAAATACAAAAATCTCAATGAACTGAAGGAAATAATTTTTTTTGTTTTTATTTTTTTTGTGCGAAAACGATACGTTTCGTGAAAGATGGTATAGTAACCATTTTGCTTCCGCGGCCTACTCGGTGAATTTCAATAATAATTTTTTTCTGATCTAGTTTCTGGTTAGATACCAACTTGTGATATGTCATTAGAAAGGGATTTGAATGCTGAATAAAGCGAAAAGAAAAATAAATTGGGTTTCCGTTTAAAATAAGAAAGTTGATGTTACTTTCGGTCAGACCGGAAGTCAACTTCGACATGTCAATACACTCAAATTCTAGCTCTCATGTCATTATATCGACGCTCCAAATTTCACAAACCTACTTCATACAATAACTGAGATATTCCGTAGGCAATACTTCCGTAGCCACCCGGTATATCATTAGGAGCTGTTGAGGTGTACAGTATAGCTTTTCGCACGGAATAAAAATCCTGGTTTTTGTGAAGCAGGTTTCGCCATGGATCTGACCTAATTTTCCTAGAAATACTATTGTTGATAAAAATACCGAGCATAAATATAGAGGACTTTGTGGCGTTGAAATCAACTAGGTTGTTGGTTCCCCACGCTGTTATTTCAGCAAGATCATCATTGACAGCGTTGACCTGTCTTCGTCGTGATTTCTCAACTTTCAAGTTTTTAATCCAACTGCAAGTAGCATTTGAGTATCAGATCCGAGCAATTTGTGATATCTTCATTTGTGCATAGGTATGTCTCCACCAGAGCAACATAGTTCAACTTACTGCAACAACAACATGTTTAGTCACACTATGTTGCATATTATTTATGTTGTGGTAAACAAGATGTTGACTGGAGCGGTAAAGATCAAAGGAAAATGTGAAACACACGCAGACATTCAGCAATTAAACACAAGTTGTAGTTGGTGTGGACGGTTTGTCGCAAGAAATTTCAACAGAAAGTTGAGTTGATTTCCAAATCAGGAGGTCTATTTTCCTTAGTAAACCTTCCATATCAGAACTAGACATACGGAAAAAATTCTTAAAATTGCCATCTGTTCGAAGTTCACCCCAAAGAAATCTTTTAACAATTCATATCCTGCTTTTATTTTTATTGTTTTTTGAATTGGGCGAACCCAGTACTTACGCGTGATTTTCCGTTTTATTATTATTATTATTGAAAATAACAAAACAAGCCGCAGCCGCAAAAATCACCTCAACTTCGTCGTACAACATGGCTGACTGTGTTGTTATTGGGGTTGCATGTTTTAATAAATCAAAATCAACTTCATGCATCATTGTTGTCTTTCTGGAGACACTTTGTTAGTGAAAGTTGTTCTAGACATTTTGTATCTCCAACAAAGTTCAAGTCTGTGTTGCCTTGGTGGAGACATACCTTAAGCTACACTCTTTGAACCTTTTTTAAATTCACACACTATACTAAAAACAGGGACTTCGACCGGTCTACCATCCAGAAAATATCTACTCGACCCCTCAGTGTCTTCCAACCCTTACGGCTCAGCGAGAACCCAAATCGCTCCCCAACCTAACAACTCTTTCCAACACACCCCATTCAACCCTATGCCAATCAACCAAAATCCACCCCAACAAAATCCACCCCTCGTACCCAACAACTCCTTTTTGTCTAATCCAGCTCCGATTTCCGGTTTTGATGCTCCTATTCTGAATCCCGCGGGGAATGCTGTGACGTCATCGGGTTCTACAGGTGGTTACGGAGTTGAGGCGAGTCATGGGTTCGCAGCGCCGTCTGGATGGAACGATCCGCCGCCGATTAGTAGTCGGGTTTCTAAGATTCAAGTGAGTGTTTGATATTTTCTGTTTGTTTCCCTTTTTCGTTATTTATTTCAGGAGGGTGTAGACGGAGAGCCAGAGCCACAAAGATTCTCTGAATTTACTAAGCCAAGTTTTTTCACAGTTTATTACAATGGTTTTGTACCCAAACATACTGCGGTCAGTCAAGCAAAACTGAGAACAGGTGTTCCTGGTATACTATTGAAGTTGTCGTTCCTACCGAGGTAATGCAATGAAATCATTATACACATTGTATATTGCATATGAATGGTTATGGAAGTCAGTATACCAGGGACTCCTGTTCTCAGTTTCGCTTGACTGACCGCAGTATGTTTGTGTACAAAACCATTGTTATAAACTGAAAAAACTAGGCTTAGTAAATTCAGAGGATCTTTTTGGCGCTGGTTCTTAGACTAGTGGGACTAGAGTCGCTGGATGGTATTAGTACTTCAATCTTTTTTTTCTATATTACAATGGTTAGAGTGAATAAAAGAATAAGACATATTTTCTGCTCTTTGTCTTTTCAATTTCCCTAGTAGCACCTGATTGTCAGATACGATTTTAGAGGTTAGATTTCCTGTCAAATCAATCATAGCCGTTGATGGAAACAGCAGTTATAAAAATGAAAAGAATACATTTTGACAAAATTGACATAGCATAGCTAGTTCGTTCGGTATTTAAAACGCTATTCAATGATATATCACTTTGCAATTTACTTGATTTCCTCAGTTTAGTTTTCAAATTTTCAATTCCATTACATACTTCTTCAATAAATTCCTATTTCTCCATGATAGTTTTGTTTTGCATTTTGTGTGATGATAATAGTGGATTCTCTTTTCAAATAGTCTGTTTTGTAAATGAATGGAACAGCAGATTCTCTCAATCTTGAAATCTTCTGTCTGATAATATGAGTCTAAAATATAGTATCATTCTAATCTGCTCTGTTATAATAAGTGAATTTTAATTTTAATGTATGTACCTCACAAATTTTGCTTGTGTGTTCAAATCACTTTTCTATCCAAGTCGTTTCATACATTCCTTCCATAAGAGAATGGGGTTGATATTTCGTTTGGCGGATTAAATAAATGGAATCCAACATCTTCAGAATTCCCACAATTCAATGCACAGAAGGACATGATCATTTATGCTCTCTTTTCAGTAGTTTATGGAATTATATTTCAATTCTGACTTTCATAGTATTTTTTGTCAAATTTTAACAATTTTGAATAAAAAGGCGCGGAACGACTATGGTGCTCTTGTCACAATGCAAGGTGTGTGTGTTAATTTGAGCAGAATTTGTGAGATTTATGAAATGAATGCGAAATAAATGTTAAAAATGCAATTTCATTTTTTGTTTATTTCGAGTATAATACACGAAAAATAGAGATACGAGACAAATTTCACCTCATAAGATTAAGATAACATATAATAGGTTCAGGTATCATTCAAACAAAAATTATTTTTCAAATCATAATTCTGAATATTTGCCTTATGTGACTTGTTTCACGATTCTAGCGAATTTACAAAGGTGTTGAAAGATATTTATGGCATGTGACACATCGTTAGCAAGAGGATAGACTAGAGAACTTCTGAGGGAGTTGAAAGATCCTGGTCGCTTTTGTTTTTTTTTGTAGCCATGTAAAGTCGAAGCTTCAATTTTAGTTTTACATATTTCGAAACTTTACGAGTGAATTCAAAACAAAACTATATGACTTATGTCACTAGTTTTGTATTTAAAAGTACTCTAACACAATACACATCTGAATAAAATTAAAATCCAGAGTCTACGCCTTATACTTTTTTTAAAATCTGTATTTGAATATGGAATTTGGGTCTTGTTTTGATGAACAGATAAAAAGACGATTAAAAATGATCCACAGGGCATGAAAGGTGTCTACTAGTCTCAAAGGATAGCAGATGACTCCTTCATTCGACCATTTCAATTTAGCACACGATGCACCCTCAATATACAGTTTGGGATTTATTCATCAAACTATACTTATTTTTCAATGTACAATCACCTCCAGAAAGCTGGGTACACATTTTTGACTCACACTGTATAATCCAGAATAGTCAATCAGTGAAGTTATTTCAACTAAGACATGTAATAGACGAGATTCGAGCGTTTCTTCATTCAACCCAACTCAACCTAACATTGCAGCAAAAACCAGCAGCCCCTCTGGCCGATCCCATCACACACCCCCTGTACGGGACGGCGCCCCAGTCCAACGGCTACCCGGACCCAGCACACCCCACCCCTCCCCTCCATCCGTACGGGGGCGTGGCCAGGCAGGACTCGACGGCAGCGTACGCCCCGTCCCAAGCTATGGGGGCGGGACACAACCAGGTGTACGCCCCTCCCCAAACGTTGGGGGCGGTACCTAATCAGATGTACGCTCCGCCCCAAGCATTGGGGGCTGGACCAAATCAGATGTACGCTCCGCCCCAAGCATTGGGGGCGGGGCCAAATCAGTTCGCGCAGAGCGTCGATCCGGGCGGTTTCAATCGGAACGCGGTGGGGGGCGGGAACGTGGCACAGCAGCTGCAGGTGAGAGTTCACTGAATTTTTATTTATTTCATTAATTTTCAAAATAAAATACATATTAGTGTACTATATTTTTTTATCGCTTGGAGCGCACGAAAGGAAATCCCTATAATGTTCGAAGAACATCGTGCGTTCCTAGGGAGGATAGGGACAGGAGGTAGGTAGGTATTGGAATTTTTCTTGAACTCCTGGTGATTATATGTTGTTGGGAATACTTCCTCAGGCAATGAATTCCAGAGCCTAGCCGTTCTATAGATGAAGGAGTTTTGATAAAGTGCTGTTCGACATTTTTCGAGGTAGACAACGAAAGGATGTGCTGACTGGGCTTCTCTAGTTCGTCTGTCTGGTATTGCTAGTGAAGGGATGAGAGCAGAGATTCCTGAAGAACATTTCCCGTGGAAGTATCGATAGAAAAGTGAAAGGTCTTCGACCTTTCTCCGGTGTTCCAATGATGTCAGAGAGTGAGTGAGTGTGGCATCACCCACCAGGCGAATGGCTCTTCTCTGGATGGAATCTGAGAGCTTCAGCGTATGTTTTGGTGCTGAACCCCATATGTGGGAACAGTATTCTGGAACAGGCCGTATCTGCGCTTTGTAGATCACGAGAAGCTGTTGAGGTGTAAAGTAGCTTTTCGCACGGAACAAGAATTCGAGCTTTTGTGAAGCAGCTTTTGCGATGGATCTGACATGATTATCCCATGAAAGAGTGTTGCTGATGGAAATACCGAGCATAGATTTGGTGGGGATGGTGGTGCCAGACATTACAATGTCGGGCATACTGAGTTCCGCCTTTCTAGAGAAAATACAGGCTTGAGTTTTGGTGGCGTTGAATTCAACTAGGTTGTTGGTTCCCCAGGGTGTGATTTCAGCAAGGTCTCCATTGACAGCATTGACCTGTCTGCGCCGTGAGTTCTTAGTTTCCTGGGAAGAAATGGGAATTCTGGAAGAGAACACAGTATGGAGGGTACTATCATCTGCAAAGCTGTGGATGGGGCAAGTTTTTACTCCCAACAGATCATTGATATGAAGCAGGAATAATGTTGGTGCCAAAATTGATCCTTGTGGAACGCCGGAATTGATGCCAATGGTATCAGACGATACACCGTCCACCACCACGTGAAGCGATCTGCCTGAAAGAAAACTCGATAAGAGATGGCATAGCTGAGGTGGTAAGCCGTATGATGGTAGTTTGTGGAGGAGTCCTTTGTGCCAAACACGGTCGAATGCTTTCGATATGTCCAACGCGACAGCTAGAGATTCCCCGTGTTTTTCTAATGAAGCTTGCCATAAATGGGTGACGAAGGCAAGTAGATCTCCAGTAGATCTCCAGTGGCGAAAGCCGTATTGTCTATCATTGATGATTACTGAGCTCTCCAGATATTTGATAAGCTCAATATTGATGGCTTTCTCCATCACTTTGGAGATTACTGATAACAGGGCAATGTGCCTGTAGTTTTTGGGCAGGTTCTTGTTTCCTTTTTTGGGGATTGGTTGGACTCTAGCTGTCTTCCAGCATGATGGAGAAATGAACATGAGATTATTTCAAAAATTTGGTTACTCAAGTATAGAAGTTGCTCTCTTGGTCTATCGATCTGACATACTCTGAGCAATGCAGCGTTGCCGTTAATACCAGAGAGTACTCACTTTTTTCCCTTGGGAAAATAGTATGATTTATGAAAGGTGACATTTTATAACCTGTCAACAGAAATGAAATTTCAAACTTTTTACCTTTCATAGAAAAAATATTATAATCCTGAAAAATTTTCAGTTCTGAAAATTTCATTTTTGTCTCACTTTTCATGGAAACTACCCTGTATCTCATGTAATTATCGAGTTAGGATTGTTAAATTTCCAAAAGCAAGAAATATTCCAAATATACAGTCAATGACCAATTGAAATTACCATCAGTGATATACACTGCTCGCTGGCAGCCATGGAACTACCTACATGTTCGGAAAATCATATCCGAAAACAAAATTGGTTGGAAATCACTTCGGATTCGAGAACAGAAAACAGAAATTTTTATATACTGACCACTCATATTTTATTCTGAAAAATTTTCAATTCTGAGATAATAAATTCTGTCTCAACTTTCAATGGAAGCACCCCAGTATCTAAAGTAATTATTGATATAGAAGTCTGAAATTTTCAGGAGCAACAGAGAGGACCAATGACCAAGTAGGATCATCTTCAATAATAAACTGCTTGCTAGCAGTCCCAGAACTACCGACATTCCAGAAGGAAAAATGTATTAGATCGAAAAATTCACCTACTGGTTGTTCTGAAATAGATAATCATAAAGTCAGTTTCCATTAGTAATAATGAAATATCAATCAGAACTAGTACAATCGAATAGATGGATAGATCATCATAAGTGATCCCATGAATCAGAAATCATGACGGTTGTCATTGAAATGAATAAATTATGAATGAATGAATTCGTTAGTAGTATGAAGAAAATCTTTACCGATAATAATGCGTCAAAATATGGGCAGTTAGTGAATTGGACGTCCTGTTTTCGAATTTGAAGTGATTCTCAACCTATCTTGTCTCTTGATATTATTCTCCGGACATGTGTGTAGTTCCACGGCTGTTGGCGAGCAGTTCATATCACTGAAGATGACCCCACTTAGTCATAGAGGACAAACATTGATTTTTCAGAAATGACAAATTTTCAAGTAAAATTAAGAATAGTTAGTGAATTGGGCGTCTTGATTCTGAATCCGAAGTGATTTTCAACCATTTTTGACTCCTAATATCATTTTCTGGATATTGGGGTGGTTCCATGGCTGTTGGCGAGCAGTGTAAATCACTGAAGATGACCCCACTTGGTCATTTTGGTATATCTCACACTCCAGCAAATTTCAGGATCCTTACCCAACGATTACTCAAGATACAGGGGTGTTTCCATTCGAAGTAAGACACACTGTATTGTACAGATATTTTGTTAAAATTATTCGTGGAACATGAACCCCAAATATTTTTGAGATAGTTCATTTCACTTAGGATGGTATTTGCTGGTATTTGCTATATTTATGATAAGCTTTGGACCACTTCTTAGGGTACCAACGATGTTAGCGTAATCTCAAATATAGGCTGATTTTAAAATGAGTGCATATATTCAAGACATATATATGAGAGAGTCTAACAAAAATTACTAAAATATTAGATTTTTCCTAAGTCTTCACATTAACGAGAAATTTCATTTTGAAAATTGAACATAAAATGCTTCGAAATTCGAGTACGCCACTGGGAAGCAAGTGAATTCTGCGGAATCCCAGGGATTCTCCAATTCGTCATTCACTAAAGTCAGAACAAGACAGTGATGCCAGATCGTTTCAGAGACGAATATCCTGATAAAAATTTGTCACAGAAAGAATATGAATTGAAATAGGTTATGGAAACTAATAGAGGTGAATGTAACTCAGATGAAGAAAGGGACATTCTTCATCTGAGGAATGTAATATGTACAGGAGCCTTATTTTTTAAAGTTCACTGAGAGAACTGTGGGGTGATTATCTCCATGGATCACGAGAGACGGATAGAAACATGAGGGGAATGATAGAACGTCCCCCTTCCTTCCACAAAGTTGAAAATCGACTCACCTAGTAGATTTTCTCATACCTGCTCGAACAGCAAACAGAGCAAACAAATACTAATATCGAGTCCATTCCAGACTAATATCGTCCTGTGTTCTTGTTGGTTCATATTCGCACTTAAACCATCGAAAACGACGACGACATATCCTTCCTGGCAATCTCACATTGAAAATCACGACCATATCACGATTATCACGACACAACATCCAATTATTTCATTTTTTATTTTACGTTTACAATTATTTTACAAACACACAAAAAAACTATTATCATATGATCTGTCAACATCATTTCTCAGAACAGTAGTATCTGTGACCATAGATTTCCTCTTTGCTGTGACCTTTGACAGTTCTAACTAGGATTGTTTGCGTTCAGAGAATAAACAATCCAAAACCGTCAGAAGCATGCACAAGTCCACAGAACCCAAAAATCATACAGTTCTGTGAAACTGCGCATGCTTCTGACAGTTTCGGACGCAAGAATTCAGATGACCATGAATTACTAATAGGCGATTTCTACGGACCAATCAGAAACAGCAAAGTAGCGCCTGCGTGGTTGCGATTCATCCTGATTGGACACAGCTGATTGGATTTGTGAGATTAGTGTATAGTGAGGAGTATCATTTCATTGAATTAAACTAATAGATCTTTTTTCCAAATTAGTTTTTTATGAAAATGTTAGTTTCATTTAAAGATATGATCCTTCCTCACTAATACATTAATCTCAATCACCTGTGCCCAATCAGGATGAATCGCAACCACGCAGGCACTACTTTGCTGTTTCTGATTGGTCCGTAAAAGTCGCCTATTAGTAATTCATGGTCATCTGAATTCTTGCAGTTTGTTGTTCTGAGAATGTATGTTATTTTGGAAAACGTCAAAACGTGATACTAGTAAATGTAAACAGTGTGGTCCTTGTCATTACTTTTGTAATAGATCTATTACTATTGGGTGTTAGCACCAAAATATGATGTTATGTATATGACTAAAAAATCTATTTCTGTCTAATTTGTGCGATATGGTTTTACAAGAATGACATTCAGAATGTCAAATGTCAGATTTTTAGGATCTATCACCTTTTGATACAAATCTGTTACCATTTTCCAAGAAAATCTATTACGAAAAAATCAGACCCAGGAACAACACTGAATGTGAAGTTTTGTTTCTGACAATTTGCTTGGAATGTGACGATGCATTTATTTTCTCAAACATTGAGCTGAATGATATGGTTCTTATGTCGGGTCGTTATTGTGCGGGGCCCATGAGACTCCTCGAAGACCACGAAATTGTAGCGATGCAAGGAGGTGGAAGGAAGGGTCTAAAGGATTTTTCAGTAAAATAACTTCCAACCGTGAGGTGTTAAGTTATACGCTATTCAAGCTTATGTGTAGAAATCTTGGGTGAGTCCATTTTGAAGTTTTTGTATTATCTTTCTGAAATTCAAGACCAGGGTTAACTTCTTCCCCATGTACATTTTCTCGATTATACATTTTATTTAATATCTCCTAATTTTCATGTAGAGTGGCAACGTCGCTTCGTTCATCACGGTCGACTGCGGATCGCAAACGATAGTTGTGACAGAAGTAGAAATCTGGGCGGAAAAAGGGTATTTTGCCCCAAATCTATTTTGATCCTAATAATATTTTTAATAGTGCTATTCGGTAGTATACCTCAAGCTTTCTTAGTGTTTAAAATATATGCACTTATTTTAAAATCAGCCTGTATAAGCATACACCATTTCATGAATTTCTTGCTATTGATTCTCGATATAAAGATAGTGTAAGCTCGTCGTGACTTACCCTGTATACTGTAATTCTTGACTGTGTAGGATGTGCAAGGAAATGTGAGAGAAGCTACTCCCCAACCCGTACAAAAAGCGCCCATACCAGAAGAGCACTTACATATGAAGACGGTGCTGGATGAGTTGAGACATCAGTGTAGTTGTGCCGCTAATAATCCGGTAAGATTTGTTCAATCGTCAAAATATTCTAGCCAACATGAAAAAATGTATTGAAAAGGAATATTCTCAGATATATTTATGAACACACAAAAATTATATATACAGGGTGATCAGTTGAGGGTAGCGAGCGGCCATATCTCATAAGATATTGGTCATATAGATTTGAGAAAAAAAATCATGATAAAAGGCGTCAAAAGAAATTGCTGGAAATTATTTTTGAGTTTGTCAAACGTCCGGTAGAGGGCGTAACAACCAACACCAAGTAGAAAAATGGGATTTTTATAGAATTTTGTCTAATGAAAGTATATCGATGATATCATTTTCATATTTAATGACCATTCCCCTACATTTTTTGTTTGAAAGGTTTTGTTCTATCTATGAAAATAAAGCGGTGGGAGAAGTTCAATTGTTTTTTTAAACAAACCAAGAATTCTCCCGTTTATTTCGACCGATTTTAGCAAACTTAGGCTCATATGAAAGAGCATAATTTGCCCTACAAAATGCCTATTTGGTTTTGGATTCTTGACTTTTACTGTCGCTGCTAGATGGCGTTAACTGAAATGTTAACAAATTTTTGAGTTAAAAAAAACAAATTTAATGGTGTATCAATTTTTTGATACATTTATCTAAAATCCGATGAAAATAATTTATCATCTACCTATTTTTGAACCGTTGATATATTGACCAAAATATAATTTTATTACATTCAAAAATGGCAAGCCACTGTTTTTTATGAAAATCAAAATTAGTTTTGTGATCTCTCATTGGTTGCTAACAAAAAGAAGCTCTTGACTTTTTTTCGTTAGACAAACGGTTTTTGATTGAAAAAATAAAATAGGTTTACGTGGAGCGCCCAATATTAATAGATAATTAGATACTTATTTTTGGAATCATGAGTCTGTTGATGAATAATTCCATCTGTAGTACATACAATGTTTTTTCTTCTTGGGACTGTCGAATTTGGATACGTTCTTGACTTTATTCAGGATGATATGAGAGAATCAGAGACAAGTATTTTTTCAATTTTTTTCTAAATTTCTCAACACTTATTTTTTTTAGTCTGGCAGGTAATTCATTATAGAGAATTGTTCCATTGTATGAAACAGAGCTTTTACCCATATCTGATTTGATTTTGATGAGAGTTAACATATCTGTGTCATTCCATTCTCTGGTTGAGTATCCTTGATTCATTTGAATATTTTATTTCACAGCAAACCAAAAGAAAACTGGAAGACGTGGGCAGAAAATTGGAAACGCTATATGACTCATTGAGAGAACACAAGGTGAGTTGAACAAAATATGCCAATCACGCGTATGAGTATTTTTCCGATACTAAAATGGGTGTAAATATTGTCTCATTATTGCATTTTTGTAGTAATTCTGCGAATATTAAAAAAAACTTGTATTATGATATTTCAAATTGTTCAAAAAATGCAAATTAATTATTCAGTTAATTTCTAGATGATGCAATGGATCTGCCTTTATTTTCAATAGGTTCATAAGAATTATCTTGGTAAACCGAAATATTTTAAACACAGAACCGGTGGCCTTATCAGGCCTACTAGCAAAACAAAATTGGAACGAAAAAAAAAAAAACTCCAATCCGTCCTTATGAAAGGGCTGTATGTGAAAATATTGTATTTGGTAAGGGGCCCATGCCAGGTGACACTGACTCATAGTATACCCCCCTTTTCTCCTTTGTATTTTTTGGTATATCCCTGGAATTTGAAACATCGAATATGCTCACTAGAGGGCACTTTCTCACATTTCAGTAAATTTCTATCATCTTCCGGTTTTCCTGGAAATAACATCAACTTTCGATTTTCAAATGGAACACCCTGTATTTTGTTCCATAATTGGTTAGAGATTATTTCAGACGATTACGAAGATATTCACGTTCGAAGTTTCCATAAGCTCGATGGATGTGACGGTGCAATATCGAATCTTCTTTCTCTGTCAGTGAATGGAAGCAGTGTATGTTTGGTTGCTTATACTACAATCATGCATTAATAGAGACATTGATCATTAAAAGAGATCATTAACGATCAATTTTAAAAACATTGAACATTCTCGTTAATACGAGGTCGACGGACAAATACATTATCAATAGTCATCTGGTGTCTTTCATCGGATGTCTTTTGCTGCTAAACAGCAAAAGCTTTGTTGAGGTTTATTTCCTAAAGATTTATACGAATTATTCAGTTGCATTTGGAATTTTGAAAATCAAAACAGATCTATAACCTCTGAAGTTATCCCAAAATGTTGATCCACCTATTTATCTAGACTGATTTTCGATCCTCACAACACTTCATTTCTGTGAATTGAGCAATACTAAACTGTCCACCACTGTTGTTGATGAACCAAATTGGTGAGTTCAGCAACTAGAACAACCGAGCACTGACTAAAAGTGCTTCGAGCACTAAGCACTCCTGAAAAGTGCTCCGGAGTCGCGACCACCAACTTTTATTGACGAAATGCTCGCCATTACTATGCACTCTTAAAAAGTAATTTGAAATAGCGAGAACTGAGCACTATGCACTTTTGAGAAGAATGATACTGTGTTATACACTTAAAAAACACATGGTTTTTGTTTGTTAACTTAGCCTCCTACCTTGACCATTAGTTTTCAATGCAGCAATAATAGTTATCTATACACCAAGGTAGTAAAGAGTAGAGTCACTGGATGGTATTAGTTTGATAAGAGTTCGGACACAGCTGAACTTTTGTCCTTTTCTATTTTCTATAATACAATGGTTTAAGTGAATAAAAGAATAAGACATATATTCTGCTCTTTGTCTTTTCATTTTCCCTAGTGGCGCCTGATTGTCAGAGAGGTTATATTTTCTGTCAAATCAATCATAGCCGTAGATGGACAATGGGTATAGGGTACAAACACCTACTCCAATTTATAGTGATAAACTTTTAGCAGAACAACTGTTATATAAATGAAAAAAATGCATGTAACAACATTTTAATATTAGAAAATATACACATATGGATAAACTTATAGCTATAATTCCTTATTGAATGTGAAACTATACTCCAGTGATGAGTATAAAACATGAAGTTATTTATATTAAATTAAAGGTAGGTATTCTCAATATACAGGAACTAACATAAGTACTTTCAAGTGAAGTATTCCTGAGACAATTATAAGAAATAAAGTCTATATAAGCTCTTGTGTCCGGAAATGCTTCATTTCGGAGATACAAGGTGTGAAATACAGAAAACAAATCATTTTTCGATAAATATTTTATAGGAGAAGAAGTAGTTTATTTTGACGAGACCTACCAAATACTTGGTTTTGGAAAGTTCTCAGCAACTCCACTTTATTAGCGCCCTAGGATCGATATAGAAAATATCTCCAAAACGATAATGCCAGCGTAATTAGGGCCATAATAATAATTCCCTAGATACATTAATAACTATTCACTTTTCACTGTTAAATTTTAAATTTGGTCGGCACCAAAAACGCCATTCAATAATATATCACTTTGTAGTTTACTTGCTCTTCTTAGTTTCGTTTCAAATTCTCAATTTCATTATGCAATTTTGCGATAATTTCCACTTTTCCATGATTATTTTGTTTTGTATTTCGTGCGATGATAAAAATGGAATTTTGTTCTCGAAATCGCCTGCTTTGTAAATTGATGGATCAGCAGATTCTCACAAACGGATTTTGAAATCTTCTGTTTGAAAATGGGCCTAAAATATAGTTTCATGCTAATCCAGATGCTGTTTAAAAAGTGAATTTTAATGAGTACCTCATACATTTCGCTCGTCTTCAAATTGATTTTGCACCCAGGCCATTTCATATCTTCCTTCCATAAGCGAATGGTTAATATTTGTTTCGGAAAATTGATTAAATGATATCCATTTTTTTCAGAATTGGCACAATTTATTACACAGCAAGTAATGTCCATAGCTGATTTTATCTCGAATGAATAATTATGAAATTTTATTTCAATTCTGACGTTTATAAAATGTATTGTCAAATTCAAACAATTTTGAATGAAAAAGCGCGGGACGACTATGGTGCTCTTGTCACAATGCAAGGTGTGTAACTTAATAAATCTAAATATTAAAAAACCCTAACCGTTGTCATTTCTGTGTCCGAACTCTTATCAAACTAATAACATCCAGTGACTCTAGTAAAGAGTAGTAAAGAATATCAGTATTATCTAGGGACCAAGATTATATTTCGAGGCTCCAGCCGAGGGTTATAAGGTCCTGTGGTGATAATATTCTGCATCGAACTCAATATAAACTACTGGAAGGGATCCTATGTGAACGACGATTGAGGCAAAAATATTATTCTGGCAACCCGCAGTGGTTATGAATACCTATCTCTTTCTATCTCATGTTGACTTACAGGAAACGCTCGCATAATTTGAAATATTTTCTCGTTTTTCGCTTCCATTCAAGAGTAAACGTGATTAAATACAGTTCTCAACACACTAAATGGACCACTC